GGATGCTGTGGCCCATAGAAATGCGTTGTCACTCCTGAGGACTAAGATGGAATGATTCGATTCCAGTAAGAAAGATTCTCCGTATCTCTACACTCACCAGACGAAACATAGGTCCTTCCCCGGTTGAGCCGACCCATTTGTGCTACAACCATAATATATATAGCTGCAGCGTGGCCCAACTACATAATAACTCAGTGTCGCTGTGTCGCCTCCTTTGGATAATATCGAGCAGTGGACTCTCGATGCCGCCACTTACCACTTACGATTCACCCATAGATATAAGAAAGAAGTCCGCCCGTAACATGTGTAGATTGAAAATTTAGAAGTAAAATAGGGGTGACAAACCACAGTCATCTACATCTATCCTCAATAAGAAAACAATACAATAAATACTGATGCGTTGTTCACGGGTAACAACGCATCTCATAAGCTTCTTTTGCTTGATTACTCACTCTCATATTAAAAAAAAACTGGTTGAGAGGTGCTAAAAAACGCACGCCAGGAAAAATACAATAAAACGCTATGTCATGATTTATGAAGCAATTTGTCTAACTTATTTGGCTTGAAACAAAAAAATTGACGTTAAAATATTTAAAAATAAACCCAAAGATTATATTACTGTTACTTACTTAAACTTATTGATTATGAAAGATATTTCTTTAGCCTTTTGACCTCGATGAGTTTTATTATTGTGTGGACTCTGAACTCTGACCTTTTCCCACATTTCTGCCTGCCTTGCCCTTTACGTTTATTTCATATTATATAAGTGATTTTATTGTCATATCACTTGTCAGTTTGTGTGCTTTAGATCTTAATCCCTTTGTATAATAATTCACTTTTATAAAAATATTTACGGCAACGGACATATTTTAACGTCATAGAGTCACGCTGCAGATATAATATGGCTGCAGCACGAAGGGGCTGGTTCGAGTAGGAAAGGACCACACTCTCAGGGTAACCAGCGTAAAATAGGTTAGGTTATCGCTGCTATTTATTTCATATGTGAGTGTAGTGAGCCGCAGAACATTTTTATGGTCACAAGGCATTCTATCTTAGTCATCACGGTTAATTACGCATCTACATTTTGATTCTTAATAGAGGCCTGTTACAACACTTATATGATATTTCAGGCTATATAAAAGACAATCTAACGTTTCGTCATGCCTGGACCAAGTTTAGCTAAAAATTAAGGTATAGATGGAAAATTGTGAAAGAAGTTATAGATGACATCGCCTAAATCACAAACCGAAAATCCCTACGGTCGCTTTTTACACACATTCAAGTCACAGATTTACATAATATGCAGAATGTTGCAAAAAAAATAATTAAGAATAAAATAAATTACAAAAAAAATTTTTGGGCTCTAAACTTATTCCGTCTTTCTATGAATACTAATCAATTTAAAAAAAAATTACTTCCAAAAATAACACTTTCAATTACTTACAACAGTATGGTTTTCGATGAAAAACAAAATATATTGTTGCGTTTATATTTATGGAGTTCGATTAGCGTGTAAAAGCGTTAAAAAGGCGTTATAAATAAAACTGTTTTGACATGCCGCGTAAACTTAGATTCAATGAAGTCTGCGTAAATCGTTTAAAGGTACTAGGGTTGCAACAACACCTATATAATTACTTTTTAAATATACACCAGTGTTTGACTAGAATCACTGTAATGTTAAACTTAATATTATAAAAAAAAGAAATTTTCTCAATATCGCAAATTAATTTCAAGAGGAGTAAAAGCTTTGACTTTAAATACTTTAATTCTTAAAAAGTTTAAAGTACCTAATCAAAACTACTAATTTTATTTTAATGGTTAATTTTATCATGAGGCTCTTCTTAATTTCGAAAAGTAGTAAAATATAAAATATTAATTTGAAATATACTGGTTCTTCTTTCGATATTCTTTATGCTACGGGTAATATAATATATCCGACTTAAAATTACTAGACCGATACGAAAAAGTTGGCAACCCTAACGGTAACCTAAAGTCGATAATATCGTGATTTAATGATTTTTTTACGTTTCATCTGGTTTTCGTTAGAAAATTGGTATTGTTTTGGGTAAAGCTTCCATTCATTAACATCAACATCTGTAGTTTGCGGACAGACCACTAAGCCACCGTCACTAATAAAGGGGCTTTCCCTTTATCGATGCGCTTAAAAGTGACATGTAAAGCGATCACCCGGATTCCCGTTACCGTAGTCAATAGATCAAATATTGATTTTTTTAGTGGTAGTAATACTGCCATCATGAGTGTAATTGATATATGTTATCAATTACGCTCATGATGGCAGAATTACTCGTAACTCAGCCTCCATATCATGTTATAATATATAGGAAATCCAAATTTCAACATACCTGTCTTCACGTTTCACTACCACAGGATCCGATTTTACTATTCCAAAAATTACATCTGTGTGTATACGTTCGTACAATAGCGAACTTATTGTGTCGATAAGAAATGAAATATCTAAAAATAAATTTAATTTGACGCTTAATTGCATAATAAAGGGGAAAATGTCTGTAGTTTAAAAAAAGATCAAAATTACAAGAAAGCTAATAGTAACACTAATGGGCCTAATCAGCTTGATCGGCCTAACAAAGATGACACCAGTTTTTCTTTGTAGACTGCTTGCTGCTGAAGATCTAGATTAAAATTGCCATATGACACCACCACCTAAATAGTAATAGGCCTACAATATGCTAGGTGGTATGACTTCATCTAGATTTATTCGTGGTAGAGGCAAGCTGCAGTTATATTAGTAGTATAGTTGTAACACAAATGGGTCGGCTCGACCGGGGAAAGACCACGCTCTCACAGAATACCAGCGTAAAATAGCAGCTTAATGCTGCTGTGTTTCGTATGGTGAGTGTAAAGAACCGGAGACCCTTTTTACTGGAAACGAGGCATTCCATCTTAGTTCTCATGGGTGACAACGCATCTGCATTTTGATTCGTAATCGGGGATACATGTAGGTGTCTATGGGCCACAGCATCTACTTACCATCAGGTGTTCTGTGTGCTCGTTTGTCACCCTATTCTATGAAAAAACTTCTCTTAGCTATTCCTCATGCCAAGCAGCTGTGAGTGCACTGCTGTGTCCCGATCTGAAGGGATAAGAGAGGCAGTATGATTACAGGCTGTGAGGTATTCCATCTTAGTTCTAAGAGGTGACAACGCATCTGTAATCTCCTTTTTTTCCAGGTATCCATGAGCTGCAGTACAACAATCAGGTGGACTGCCAGCTCCTTTCCCATTTAAGTTAAATGAAAAAGTATTAATCGTAATAAAACTTCTTGAGCGTATAAGAGCTTCACGTGTTTACCTGAAGTTGCTGCTACGTTAGAATTAGTCAGAAAGATATCATCAGCATCACCATATTGCTTTTGGCAATAGTTAAATTTATAGCTATTCATGAGATATTCAACCCATATTTTAACGGTAAATAACATACTCGCACGGAGAGTTATAGTTGAGTATTGATCTAGTTCCCAACCCACGCATCTCTCCGGGTGCATTCTAGCATTTGAATGAAACTTTGAATTTGAATGAGAATGAAATTTAACGTGTAGATCGGAACAAAAGTTAAATTTTAATCTATGGTAACCGCGGTTAACTATGACAGCTGGACGTTGAACATCTCAGTCCTTCCCGTGACCATGGGTGCTGTAAAGCTCTCGAAACGTCGGGTAAAAAAGTTAAATATACGCGATAAATTCCGTAAAAATTAGTATTATTTCAATGTGTAGTGTTCGCGTAAATATAAGAAATCATAATGAAATTTAAGTTTTTATCTGTATAATATAATTTGCTTTGAAGTTACCGCAAACTTAATATCATTTAGATAGTCTGAAATTATAACATACATATAGCTCGAAAAACCGACAACCGATGAGGAAAAAAGGTACTCGAGTGGCAGGCTCGTACCGGTAGGCGTAGTGTAGGGCGACCCCCCACTAGATGGGAGTAACTACCTAGTAAGATATGCAGGAAGTCGAAGGATACAGGTGTCTCAGGACCGTGCTTTGTGGCATTACTTGGGGGAGGTCTATGTTCCGCAGTGGACTTGTGAAGGGCTGTAATGACGATGATGATGATAAAAATTATAACTTCGCAGTAAGTTACCCTCGAGACAACACAGTCGTACTGTTTATGTATACATTACTACTACATACACGTATATTATGTAACATATTATACTATTACTCATGTTAGCGAAATATAATCATTAAAACGCATGAAACCAATGAACTATAATTTAGATCTAAAATTTTTAAGCGCTACAAATTACAATGAAAATAATCATGTTACATAAAAAGAAACAGACAAAATTATTTACCGCTTGAGTATAAGAAATTTTCTTTAATATCTTTAGGAACTCATAAAATATTTATTCATACAGCATGCAGCTACAGCAACTAATGCTTTATTTAGAACTACCAGTACTGTCATATTTAACTTTTTTAATTATAAGGTATTAAATATAATAATAAAAATACAAAAAATTATATTTATATAAAGAGGGGCAAACAACCATGCGGCCCACCTCATTTCTGAGAGGGTTTAGGGCAAGGAAGTGTCCGCCGCGCTGCCCAAATGCGTGTTGACGAACTTCACATGTCTTCGAAATATTTTTTTTCCTTATTCCTCAGACATGCAGGTTTCCTCACGATGTTTTCCTACACCACCGAGCACGTGGTAAATCAGCACTTAAAATTGCAATTAATAATTTCATTGGTGCCGGCGGGGTTCGAACCCCGGTTACTCGCGTTCTGTTATATTTACAGCGAGCGTTAACCACTGAGCTACCACGGCTTACAAAATATATATATATATATAACATAAGCACGCACTATTTATACACATTTAACATACACTTATTAATAAAATTTAACTTGTTAAATCCTCTGATGTTGGTGTCATTAATAAAATTTATAACTTCACAATTCAAAATAAAAAATACTATGATTTAATTTTTCTCTTGATGTTACTTACCTGTGCTGAGATATTGACTGGGAGCATATTGACATCTTCAGCTCCACTCCTGGAGCTTCTGCTTCCTCTGTCAGAACTCTCATCATCGGAGTCAGAGATGTGGAAGGATATATTAACTGTGGTAGGGTTTGGGTCACTAAGCCTCAGTTTTAAATAGTCTCTTCGCATTTTGTTCTCACTTATCACTTATCTTTGGCATTGTCTTTTTTGGAAAATTTTTGGGAATGTTACTTTGGTACAAGATGCATGTAGACCTGCATGTAGACCACTTTTTTATTTTAGCTTTGTATTCATTTGTTTAGTTATCAAACCTGCTTGAAATACACTCTTTGTGAAGATTTCGGCATATTTTGACCACGCCTACATCTCGATCTGCCACAATATAAAAGTAATATTGTTTTGTTATTGTTAAAAGTTAAAAGTTACAGCCTATATACGTCCTACTCCTGGGCACAGGACTCCGCTCATTTCTGAGAGGGTTTTAGACAAACATATAAGTTTCCTCACGATGTGTTCCTTCACCGTCGAGTACGTGGTAAATCAGCACTTAAAATTGCAACTAACAATTTCATTGATGCCGGCGAAGATCGAACCCGGTTTGCTCGCGTACTATGAAATTTACAGTGAGCGCTAACCATCTGCACTACCACGGCGATTTTGCTATTGAGTACTTTTTAAATATTTTATAGAAAATGTTTTAAATAATAAGAGCGAAAAAGTTAAAAAAATCTCATCATTAACGAATAAATTGCACAAGAGTAAATCTATTTACTATTTATTTTAGTGTAATTCTGCAGTGCAATTGTAGATCTTTGGAAAGATCGTTTACCGCCACGATTCGATTCGCAACTGAGTTACAATTTTTTTCATTATAAAGTAGATTTCAGTTCACAATTGATAATGATACATTTACATAATACAACGAACCTAATAATGGCTAACTAATGGTTGACTGGGAGAAAATGCATGCCTGTCATGTCTGTACTGTATTAAGAATGTATGATTTTATTTTTTGTGCATATAAGTTTAAATAAATAAACAAACTAAAGGTCGAAATAAACTTACTAGTATAAGCCAACTTTAATTCTCACCAGAGTCACACAATCACACTGCTGGTAAATTAAGTGAATTACAGTGAAACCTAGTTAAGTGGGACCTGGATGAGTGAGAAAACTCTATTATTGAGAACTATAATGAGGTCCCGGCACTTTTTAATCGAATTACCTCTGTTAATGGGACTTTTCGAACCTGGTTAAATGAGATTTGATTTTTAGGACTTTTTCGATGTTTACCTCTACAATGAGGACTCTGAAGCTCGATCCCCTTTATAAGTTAGACAATTTATCAGATTGGGACAAGTTTCGAGACGATTATTTTAGTTAGTATAAAGATTTTCGACACGGAGCCTCTATACATGAGACAACTAAATTTTAAACCTGTCTAATTGAAAAACTGAATAAATGAAAACCTCTTTAAACGGTACAAAATGCTTGGTCCCTTGAGATCCTATTAACCAGGTTTCACTGTAATTCCTAGGTATATTATGAATACGTCTAATGTCTACGTCGTTCATCATGCGTACAGCAAAGAGTGGAATAAGTTGCCAGCATCTGTCTTTCCATCTGATTACAGTGTGGGTGTCTTCAAGGCAAGAGTGAATATGATTTTCTTAAGTCAGTGCGCTTCGCCAACTTAGGCTACATCACCACCTACCATCAAGTGGGATTGTAGTTAAGCGCTGGATTAGAATTATTACTGTACAAAATTATTACAAAAATCTTATCTGAAAAAATATCTATTCTATTCTATATGTAACAAATTTAATTCTACATCGTCTTTTTTCTTTATGGTCGCATTGAAATCTAGTGAAGCGAAAGGTAAACAATGGAGTAACTGAAATCGTTATGATATACTTCATAGGTAAGAAATGATTAAATGCCCATAGTAACGAATAGGATGTGTGAGTTTCACGAGTATTCCAATGTTATTTATATGACGAAGTCCATATAGCCGTTATAGTTAGGAGAAGTGGGATAGTAGTTGTCAAATAAAATATTTTGCTTATTTGAATTTTACTCAAATCAAACAAAAAGCTTAAACATTTTCAAGTATCACCGGTAGTTATCACATGCGCAGGACTGTTAAAATTCCACAAACCTTTACTTTTGACCAAAACTATAACTATACGATATAACACACAATGCGGTAAGTTTAGAGTATGGGGCAGAGACACGTGGGAAAATCACCTGACTCTAATTACCAAAATTCTGAGTGAGTACACAAATAATTATACCCTTTGAGAAATAAAAGAAGAAATACCAAACTGTGGGCAGTATATGGACTCACACATATGTCACAAAAACATATGTGTGATTATATTTTTTACTTATTTTAAAATTAAGCGTTTTAGGAAATCCATTAAAACAGGAACTTTTGTCAAAAATACGTACGAAACAAACACCCAAAACTCAACTATAACAATAGATAACAATCTTAAATTCAAAGCACACATAAGAAATTTAACCCAAAGAGTCAGAAAACTAACGTACATTTTTAAAAACTTAAGACATGTCACAAACTGGATATTGCTAAAAACTGTTTATATATCCTTGTGCCAATCTATATTAACTTACGGTATTACTGTTTGGGGAGGTTCCAATAAAACACACATGCTTGAATTGGAAAGAGCTCAACGAATGATTTTAAAAGTTGCACTTTATAAACCAAAATTTTTTTCAACAACCAGTTTATTCAATGAAGCTAACGTGCTTACAGTACGAAAATTATACATATTGTATTCAATTTTAAAAAAAACACACTTGCACTGTGTATACACCCAATTTACTACAAACTAGGAGAAGAAATTATGAGGTATGTGAAACGATACAAGCAAAATCTACTTTCGCCCAAAAGTTTTATGGGTACAGAATAGGCAGGTTATATAATAAGGTTAATAAAAAACATTCAATTTTCAACTAACAAAATATAAATCTAAGAAAAATTAACAGATTGGCTTATGAAACTAGATTACGAAGAAACAGAGAATTTACCGTAAAAGCGGAATAGTGAGAAAACACACACACACACACACACACACACGCACACACGCACGCACGCACGCACGCACGCACGCACGCACGCACGCACGCACGCACGCACGCACGCAGCACGCACGACGCACGCACGCACGCACGCACGCACGCACGCAGAGGCGCACACACACACACACACACACACACACACACACACACACACGCGCCGCGCGCGCACGCACGCACACGTATATATGTATGTTTGTGTAATTATATATATATATATATATATATATATATGTATATGTATGTATTTATATATGTGTATATATATTTATATAAAATTTTGATTATATACTTTTATTATTATCATTTAAAACATATTGCATATTATATTTATTCTATATGACTTTAATTGTAAATTACACTTTGGAAATCTCATATCCGATCTCCACATGCAACGCTCAATTCATGTCTAAGAACAGTATAATCGAAAAGTATGTAATAAAATCAAGAGGGCGAGCCAGGAGACCCATAGCACAGGGTAACCTAGTTTGGGCTCCTGTCTCCCACTACTACTCAAAAACTCTTTAACTACTTATGAAAAATTGTAATTATGTAAAAAGTGGGAGAAATAAATGTTTATTATTATTATAATGGGGTATCTATATAGTTTTCTCATCTGGTTGGGTTCTATAAATATATAATTATAAATGAAAATGAAAAGATAAATATACATAAATATCAATAACATAAAATAAATATAAAAGTACATAAATAAATAAAAGCCCAACCAGATGGAGGCCCTCGGCAGGGGAGACCAAACGGCCGAGGGTTAGGGGGAAAGGGAAAGAAACCGGCGGACGATGCGGGCGGTATCGAGGAGCACCGCCTTCTGCATTTGAACCTGGAGCGGTCCGCCACGTAGTCCCAGCCGCCTCAGATGACCCGAGAGGCTGACTGGGATTAGCCCGTTTGCAGAGACGACTACAGGAATAATTTCGGTCGGCAGACCACCCCACATGTCGGTCACCTCGTGAGCCAGGTCCAGATATTTTGTTTGCTTGTCTGTTTCGGCTTTCACGAGGTTCTCGTCATACGGAATGGTAATGTCGACCAAAAATATCCTTGACTGTGCCCGGTCCATCAGCACAATATCAGGCTTATTCGCAAGAATAGTCCTGTCTGTGATGATGGCCCGGTCCCAATAGAGCCTGGCGCGATCATTTTCGAGCACGGCTTCCGGCAAGTACTTGTAATACGGCAATTTCCGATCCACGAGACCGTATTTCAGAGCGAGCTCCTGGTGTAGAATTCTGGCTACTAGGTTGTGCCTGTGCAAGTACTCAGAGTTAGAAAGCGCCGAACAACCGGAGATAACATGCCTAAGTGACTCAACGGGATGGCGACAAGCTCGACAGATGTCGACGGTGCCATCCTTTAGGATGTATCTCCGATAGTTGTTGGTCTTAATAACCTGATCCTGTATTGCACAGACAAAACCCTCGGTTTTCCCGAAGAGGTCACCAAAGCGTAGCCAGTAGCTACTGTGTCTACGAAAGGCTCATGTAGAGCCTTGTAGAACCTCCCGTGGAGCTCCTTCTCCTTCAATACGGTATCCCGGTCGGAAATGCTCTGCACTGCCGGGTCTTGCCATTGCTCGTTGGCTAAGGATAGAGGGGTAAGTCATTTATCACAAGAAATGACGTCCTTATAGAATGGATCATCCGCTCTCGCCAGGAAGTAATCACGGAGGCTGCACACTTCGCGATTATGCATGGTGAGCGCGCTCAAGAAGCCACGACCACCATGCTTCCGCGACAAGTACAGCCTCATTACCGACGATCTCGGATGATGCATCCTATGGGACGTCATGGTAGTGCGGACTTTTCTATCCAGGGCGTTAAGTTCAGTCTGAGTCCACCTGAGTATGCCAAAGGTATACATGAGGACAGGCATGACCCAGCCGTTATATGCGTGTGCCTTATTCACACCGGACAAAAGGCTGTTAAGCACTTTGGTCAAGCGTGCATAAAACACGTCGCAAACTGACTGTTTCATACCAGTCTCATCGATACCGATGTTCTGTGACATACCCAGGTATCGGTATGTTTCAGCCTCGGAAAGGGTCCTTAAGTTGACGGGCATAGATAAGTCTACGCCCTCAGAGTTAGCAACCCTTCCCCTTTCAACATGCAGGACCGCACACTTATCCGTCCCAAGCTCCATTCCAATGGAATTGCTAAATTCACAAGTGATGTTTAGCAATTCCATAAGATGGGAGCGACTGGAGGCGAATAACTTGAGGTCATCCATATAGAAAAGGTGGGTCACTTTTGTCCCTCCTTTCCGTAGCTGAAATCCCCTCCCGAAGCCCTCCAGTAAGGTACTGAGAGGGTTCAGAGAGAAGCAGAACCAGAATGGACTCAGACAATCGCCCTGGAAGATACCCCTTCTTATCCTTATGTGGTTCTCCGCAGCCATCATCCGCTCGCCCAGATGACAAAGGATCGTACTCCACTGCCCCATACACTGCTCGAGGAAGTCTCTAACTGTACAGTCTATCTTGTACAGCTCGAGGACTCTCTTTAGCCATGTATGGGGCACCGAGTCGAATGCCTTTCTGTAGTCTATCCAGGCGGCGGAGAAGTTCCGACGGTTGCGTTTCACCACTTTGCCAATGACCGCGTCAATGAGGAGTGGTTCCTTGGTTCCACGACCACCGCCCCGACATCCATTTTGAGCGCGCGATATCACCTGATTTGAGTCCAGGTGACAAGTGATTCTCGCGCTCAAAATGAATGTCTTGTATATGGTCGGTAGACACGTGATGGGGCGGTATTTGCTCGGGTCTGTGGTACCCTGGTCTTTAGGAACCAAATGGGTGATCCCAGTAGTGAAGAGGCTTGGGAGCGACTTCTGGTTGAGAGCCTCTTGAAACTGTCGGGCGAGCACAGTGTGACACACCACGAACCCCTTCAGCCAGTAGTGATGCAGCCCGTCGAGCCCCGGACTTTTCCAGTTCGGGGCCCTACGGACCGCCTCAGCTACGTCATCCGGCGTTATGGTGACGGGGTCCATGGGCGTAATACCCGCACACTGACTCGCCACAACTTCCGTCCAAGGGCCCTCGCTGTGGTTTACGGGCTCTGACCACAGGCCGCGCCAGAATGCTACAGTGTCGGCCTTATTCGGTGCTGGGCCCGTTCCACTTACCATTGGTCGCTCCAATGATTCATAGAGCCTCTTCTGATCACTCTGGAAGAGACGATTCTGGTTGAACCGTGTCGACCTCTCGGTATATCGCCGAATCCGCTTTCCCCAAGCAGCGATTCTCTGCTTCAGATCGTCTATACGCTCCGTCAGTTTTTGCGTTATATCCGGCTGGGACAAACTGACATTTGTCCCAGCAAACGCCATCCTGACGGTGCGCACAATTCTTGGCCTGGTATTGCCTGACCTGAAGCATATCAATCTGCCGATGAGGGCTCTAGCCTTTGCGATACGTTCCTCAATTCTTCTTCTCCAGGCTGGGATAGCGCTACTATGGCCAGTAGCACGTCCAGCCGTGGAAACCTTGGCGCCTATAATACGGCAGACTGCCAGCGCGGCGCCAAAGAGAATTGAGTCCGTCTCGCAAAGGTCCCGGCTGGCTTCCAAATAGGTCACCAGCATTGGGTTCAGAGCCCTCACGACAGCCCGATTCCGCTTGCTTAGGGCTATGCGGGGAAGTCGCGGTCGATTTTCGAGAGGCGTACTGCGCGTTTCCACAATCGCCTCTTCCAATGTACTCCTCATATGCTCTAATTCCAGTTCCTGGGCGACTGTTCCATCATCATTTGAATCAGCAACAACTGGGGTATTACGGCGCCACGTGTGCGGGTTGCTCTGCAATTTGTGGCGCCGCACCCTCAGCCGTAGCATTCTCATCCGACGAGGGAACAGCCTCACGTCGTAGCCGTTCGAGTTCGGCGCCATCAAATATATTTGAGCGCAAGATATACCGAACTCGGTCTGCCAGGTTTTGCTCTGTGACGGTAAAAGATGGCTCCAGCTCAGCAAAAAGACGATGCATCCTAGCCCGATACGCCAAACCTCCAGTTTCTCCCCCTTTCGCCCTAAAATACGCCCGCAATGCGTTTGATTCATCTTGATTGTCCAACGCATGCGGCGTACTCCACCAGAGGCGGGTGCCGATTGCTGGGCCCGCGAAGACCCTGCCGACACCAAGCCAGCTGGTGGGGATGATGGATGCGAGGGGCTGCTGGGTGGTCGTGCAGCACCTCGCGCTCGGCTGGCGGTTCGCATGCTGCCGCGTCCAGCGCCAGCTCCAGACGCGCCCTGGCGACCTCCAGGCAGCGGCCCTTTGCGCGTTCTATTTAATTCCATCATCCATTTTTAGGGCGTCATTTAGCGGGAGACGCCCAGACCCGGCGCCGTTTCATGTTGAGGCCATGTGCACAAGCGGGCCTTTGCACCTTCAATTTTTGCCGAGGCACGGCGCTCACACCTCTTGGCAAAGTGCTGACTGACTGCGCTGACGTAGCGGTTTTGTCACATAACCGTTACGTCAGCGGGCGATGGGGTCGTCACTTCCCTACGCCATTATTATTATTGTGGGGTATCTATATAGTTTTCTCATCTGGTTGGGTTCTATAAATATATAATTATAAATGAAAATGAAAAGATAAATATACATAAATATCAATAACATAAAATAAATATAAAAATACATAAATAAATAAAAGCCCAACCAGATGGAGGCCCTCGGCAGGGGAGACCAAACGGCCGAGGGTTAGGGGGAAAGGGAAAGAAACCGGCGGACGATGCGGGCGGTATCGAGGAGCACCGCCTTCTGCATTTGAGCCCGGAGCGGTCCGCCACGTAGTCCCAGTCGCCTCAGATGACCCGAGAGGCTGACTGGGATTAGCCCGTTTGCAGAGACGACTACAGGAATAATTTCGGTCGGCAGACCACCCCACATGTCAGTCACCTCGTGAGCCAGGTCCAGATATTTTGTTTGCTTGTCTGTTTCGGCTTTCACGAGGTTCTCGTCATACGGAATGGTAATGTCGACCAAAAATATCCTTGACTGTGCCCGGTCCATCAGCACAATATCAGGCTTATTCGCAAGAATAGTCCTGTCTGTGATGATGGCCCGGTCCCAATAGAGCCTGGCGCGATCATTTTCGAGCACGGCTTCCGGCAAGTACTTGTAATACGGCAATTTCCGATCCACGAGACCGTATTTCAGAGCGAGCTCCTGGTGAAGAATTCTGGCTACTAGGTTGTGCCTGTGCAAGTACTCAGAGTTAGAAAGCGCCGAACAACCGGAGATGACATGCCTAAGTGACTCACCGGGATGGCGACAAGCTCGACAGATGTCCACGGTGCCATCCTTTAGGATGTATCTCCGATAGTTGTTGGTCTTAATAACCTGATCCTGTATTGCACAGACAAAACCCTCGGTTTCCCCGAATAGATCACCAAAGCGTAGCAAGTGGAGGGAGGCTACTGTGTCTACGAAAGGCTCATGTAGAGCCTTGTAGAACCTCCCGTGGAGCTCCTTCTCCTTCCATACGTTCTCCCGGTCGGAAATTGTCTGCACTGCCGGGTCTTGCCATTGCTCGTTGGCTAAGGATAGAGGGGTAAGTCCTTTATCACTAGAAATGACGTCCTTATAGAATGGATCATCCGATCTCGCCAGGAAGTAATTACGGAGGCTGCACACTTCGCGATTATGCATGGTGAGCGCGCTCAAGAAGCCACGCCCACCATACTTTCGCGGCAAGTACAGCCTCATTACCGACGATCTCGGATGATGCATCCTGTGGGACGTCATGGTAGTGCGGACTTTTCTATCCAGGGCGTTAAGTTCAGTCTGAGTCCACCTGAGTATGCCAAAGGTATACATGAGGACAGGCATGACCCAGCCGTTATATGCGTGTGTCTTATTCACACCGGACAAAAGGCTGTTAAGCACTTTGGTCAAGCGTGCATAAAACACGTCGCAAACTGACTGTTTCATACCAGCCTCACGATACCGATGTTCTGTGACATACCCAGGTATCGGTATGTTTCAGCCTCGGAAAGGGTCCTTAAGTTGACGGGCATAGATAAGTCTATGCCCTCAGAGTTAGCAACCCTCCCCCTTTCAACATGGAGGACCGCACACTTATCCGTTCCCAGCTCCATTCCAATAGAATTGCTAAATTCACAAGTGATGTTTAGCAATTCCATAAGATGGGAGCGACTGGAGGCGAATAACTTGAGGTCATCCATATAGAAAAGGTGGGTCACTTTTGTACCTCCTTTCCGAAGCTGAAATCCCCTCCCGGAGCCCTCCAGTAAAGTACTGAGAGGGTTCAGGGAGAGGCAGAACCAGATTGGACTCAGACAATCGCCCTGGAAGATACCCCTTCTTATCCTTATATGGTTCTCCGCAGCCATCATCCGCTCGCCCAGATAACAAAGGATCGTACTCCACTGCCCCATACACTGCTCGAGGAAGTCTCCAACTGTACAGTCAATTTTGTACAGCTCGAGGACTCTCTTTAGCCATGTATGGGGCACCGAGTCGAATGCCTTTCTGTAGTCTATCCAGGCGGCGGAGAAATTCCGACGGTTGCGTTTCACCACTTTGCCAATGACCGCGTCAATGAGGAGTGGTTCCTTGGTTCCACGACCACCGCCCCGGCATCCATTTTGAGCGCGTGACATCACCTGATTTAGCTCCAGGTGACGAGTGATTCTCGCGCTCAAAATGGATGTCAGTGTCTTATATATGGTGGGTAGACACGTGATGGGGCGGTATTTGCTCGGGTCTGTGGTATCCTGATCTTTAGGAACCAAATGAGTGATCCCAGTAGTGAAGAGGCTCGGGAGCGACTTCTGATCGAGAGCCTCTTGAAACTGTCGGGCGAGCACAGCGTGACACACTACGAACCCCTTCAGCCAGTAATGATGCAGCCCGTCGAGCCCCGGACTTTTCCAGTTCGGGGCCCTACGGACCGCCTCAGCCACGTCTTCAGGCGTTATGGTGACGGGGTCCATAGGCGTAACACTTGCACTCTGGCTCGCCACAACTTCCATCCAAGGGCCCTCGCTGTGGTTTACGGGCTCTGACCACAGGCCACGCCAAAATGCGACAGTGTCAGCCTGATCCGGTCCTGGGCCCGCTCCACATACCTCTGGTCGCTCCAATGATTTATAGAGCCTCTTCTGATCACTCTGGAAGAGACGATTCTGGTTGAACCGCCTTGACCTCTCGCTAAATCGTCGAATCCGCTTCCCCCAAGCAGCGATTTTTTGCTTCAGGTCATCTATGCGCTCCGTTAGTTTTTGCGTGATATCCGGCTGGAACAAACTGATATTTGTCCCAGCAAACGCCATCCTAACGGTGCGCATAATCCTCGGTCTATTATTACCCGACCTGAAGCTTGTCAGTCTGCCGATAAGGGCCCTTGCCTTTGCGATACGGTCCTCAATTCTTTTTCTCCAGGCTGGGATGGCGCTACTTTTTTGAGTAGCACGTCCAGCCACGGGAAGTTTGGCGCCAATAATACGGCATACTGCCAGTGCGGCGCCAAAAAGAATTGAATCCGTCTCGCAAAGGTCCCGGCTGGCTTCCAAATAGGTCACCAGCATTGGGTTAAGAGCCCGCACGACAGCCCGATTTCGCTTGCTAAGGGGTATGCGGGGGAAGTCGCGGTCGATTTTCGAGAGGCATGCTGCGCGTTTCCAGCATCGACTCTTCCAATATGCTCCTCATTTTCTCTAGTTCGTGGGAGACTATTCCATCATCGTCTGAATTATCCACAAATGGAATGTTGACGGCAGCATCCACATATGCAGTTTGTTGCGCATCTAGTGGCGCCGCATTCCCAGCCGTAGCATTTCCATTCGATGAAGGAATAGCCTCACGTCGTAGTCGCTCGAGTTCGGCGTCACCAAATATGTTGGAGCGCAGGATGTACCTAACTCGGTCTGCCAGGTTTTGCTCAGTGACGGATAGAGATGGCTCCAGCTCTGCAAAAAAGCGATGCATCCGAGCCCGATACGCCAAACATCCAGTTTCTTCCCCTTTTGCCCTAAAATACGCCCGCAGTGCGTTTTCATTCATTGATTTAGACCAACGCATGCGACGTGCTCCACCAGCGGCGGGTGCCGCTTGCTGAGTCCGAGAAGACCCAGCCGACACCAAGCCTTCTGGTGGGGATGATGGATGCGGGGGGCTGCTAGGTGGTCTTGCAACACCCCGCGCTCGGCTGGCGGCCCGCATGCTGTCGCGTCCAGCGCCAGCTCCAGACGCGCCCTGGCGACCTCCAGGCAGCGGCCCTTTGCGCACTATCTTTTTCTCCATCATCCATAATATGGGCGTCCATTAACGGGAGACGCCCAGGCCCGGCACCGTATCGTGGACGGCCATAAGCACAAACGGGCCTTTGCACCCTGAATTCTGCCGAGGCACGGCGCTCACACCTCTCGCAAGGCGCTGACTGACTGCGTTGACGTAGCAGTTTTGTCACTTAACTGTTACGTCAGCGGGCGATGGGGTCGTCAATTCCCTACGCCATTATTATTATTATTATTAACTTATTTACACAACTTGAAACACGAAAATAAACGGTTAGGCTATGAAGTATGAATGATAAAGCAACGACAACACGAATTAAATTGTTCCCTAACGAGGAATTACACTAGCTGGTTCAAACCATACATAATTCAAGTCACCATGTCTAACCGCGATCCATATATAACCTACGAAGGGTAACCCGACACTGTTCCACGTAAAGGCCCCGTCACACACGCTGTACTGAACGTCCTTACTTAGTTTGTAATACTCGTAAAACCGGCTTTGTGACAACTGACAATTGTTTTATATAACCAGGATTTACCTAAATAGTCTAGAATGTACTTAAACGCGAAGGTCGAGTAACTAAACCAATTAAAATATAACACCTAGTTCTATATGAAATTAACGGTGCCTGTGAAGTTTTCAGTTATCATTCACATATTGAATATTGAGTCGGAACGGCCATAAATCAGTCTTTAATATCAGTCGTTAGTTATTCTCGTTATAGGTATCCATCTCTAAAATCAGAAAATCAGATGTTCAATTTTCGCAATCTCGAAACATATGCCTCACGAGGATTAGAAATAGACAAAACATATCTATGCACTTGTGTATCTATGATACTATTATAATATTTTCTTCATACAACTGTCTCGTCGATTAAGTGATCATAATCGTGACTGATGATCATGAGTAAAACTATTAGTTACGGATTTTATCGGGTTTGATTACAACTTTAATTTATTTTTATTATCCTGACGTTTCGGGTGCTTTACAACACCCATGGTCACGGGTGGGACTGAGATTTTTGACGTCCCAATGTCATAGTTAGTCCGGCTACCTTTTTTGGTCCGATTTACGCAAAACGAGCTTATAGTACGTTTGCTTTGTGGCGTTGCTTGGGGGAGGCTTATGTTCAGCAGTGGACTTGTGAAGGGCTGTAATGATGGTGATGATGATGAGCTTATAGTATCATGAAGTCTTGCTGTGGTATGCTTGATATGACTTCATAATCATAACAATAAAGCACCCGAAACACAGATTACCTCCCGAAACGTCGGGATAATAAAAATAAATTAAAGTTGTAATTAAACGCGATAAAATCCGTAACTAATAGTTTTCTTCAATGTGTAGTGTCCGCGTAAATTTAAGAAATCATGATGACCATGAGGTTCGGGGGTTCGAATTCCGGGTTGGGTCTAAAAATCATTTATTGGGTTTTTCTGTTAAGAAATTCTTAGTAGTAGCTCGGGGTTGGGATGTTGGTAGTGGTTTACCTCCGTGCCTCGGAAAGCACGTAAAGACGTTCGTCCTGAGCCTGATATCTCTCCGGTCGGGTCAGATCATAGTACCATCGGACTATGAGAGTGAGAGTGCACCTGTGCTTGCGCATACACTTGGGCACTATAATTCTGTCCTGCGCAAATAGCTATGACCGAAATTTGGTTAGAAGGAAATTATTTATTAGTAAAATATTTTCTTATATTGACTCGAATACTAAATATTGAATTAAATCAGTTCTTCAGATATTATCGGTTTGAAATTATCAAAAACTGAGAAATTATTGCATCCCACTTCTGATCACATCATGTCTCGTCTCATTTTTGCGAAGGTTATTGAGCAGCTAATTCCCCACTAAGCGGAAACCCTTTTTAATCGACTTCATAATAAAATTGAGTAGGTACGAAAGTGACACTATATGTGTATTGATTCAATTAAGTTTTTTTTCCTAAATCTATGAATTATTAATAACTTTGCTTTGAATAAGTTACAATAGAGATGAAAATATTATTTATTAAAAATATGCCCCTTAATCATAAAAAGTCAATGTTTTACTAATTTCAAATGTATGCAATTACAATTTGGAATAATTGAAGCCTTAGTATTAAGTTATATTTCACAATTTGTTAATTATATGCTTTAATTATTGTTATTGGATTGACACAATACTATTATATTGACATCTTACCGCTGATATAGTAAAAAACTAAGAATTGATAATTGTGCTGTTACTACGCCGATACCGGCAAGACATGTAAATGAACCTAAAAGTTGTAATGCAACAACTTATTGTACCGTGTCTCTGAAATAAATAAATAATATATTATCAAAATTTTATCTTTACAATGTTTTTCTTCACCTTCGTACTCATGGTTAATTGGCAAAAAGCACAAAAAATTTCTAAGTAACTAGTTACTGCTTAATAAAAAACTTTCAATCTGTATTCATATTGGGCGGAATCGACAAACAATACACCAACAAAGTCACAGAATGCAGCTGTAACTGATCATGGTTTCAAAGAGCAATTAACTAGCTTGAACTAACTTTAGCCTTTAGCTAACATTTAAGTAACTTCAGCTCGCTTTAAATCTCATAGATATTGCAAGAGCAACTTACGTCCGGCTCCGTCGGTATCACCATAATTTCCCCCGTTATTTTAAGCGCAGATTCATTAAGTGCTTGGTGATGAAATGTGATTATAAAATTTGCACAAGTGATAATTTAAAAAAATATTTCGCTGAAAGAAATAAATACATAAGGGCAGTGGTTTTGCCCTTAGCTCAGTGTCAAGTAGTGTACTTTACTTTAAATATTAGAATTACTTTTTTTATTAGTGTGTAGTTTTAATTTGTGTCATATTTAGTAAAATAAGATATTTCAAACTAAAAAATAACGCCCTAAAACTTATTACTTTTATAAACGAATTATGATGTCGTTAAACGAAACCGGTCGTTTTTATGGTGAATAAGTTAAAATATAAGAGAAACAAGTACATGTTCCAATCCAAATAAATCCCAAAAATTTGAAAGATAGTCACTATAAAAACTTGTCAACCGATGCAGTGACTATTTAAAACATTCGATTTCGAAATAGGTCAATGAAGTGGTAAAGCGTCTTTGACGCTGAGGCTAATAAGGATAAATCCCAATTATTCTTAATTGCAAGTCCCAAACTCAACTGCTTTATTTTATTAAATAAGAGTGACAAAACGAGTACACAGTCCACCTGATAGTAAGTGGATGCTGGGGCCCATACACATCTACATTTATCCTCGATTAAGAATCAGAACGCAGATGCGTCGTCACCCCTGTGGACTAAGATAGAATGCCTCCTTTCCATTAAAAAAGGATTTCCGGATCTCTACACTCGCTATACAAAACACAGCAGTATTAAGCTGCTAGTTTACGCTGACATTCTGTAAGATGAGCTTATTTGCTAATAAATCATTACATTAATTATATGCGTAAAATCAAAGCGGTATTTGACAAAATACAATTTGAAATGGCATTACAATTTCATTGAAGGATGTTTTTAAAGTTTCTTTTAAATAAATAAACTACGTAACGCGACTGCTATACAATATTTGAATTAAGTTACCACTATGTAATTAAATGCGTACATAATCTCATCACGTCTATACTTCCTTCCGGACTTGTTAGACTAACAGGACTCTAATAAAAATATTATAATTTATGAAAATGACCTATAAACTACCAAACGTTTCACTGTATCACAAATTTAAATTTAAATATTCGTTAAATTTAAAATATATTGTAGAATACATATAATATTAATCAATATTATAGTATTTATTTATTTATTTATTTTACTTCATATACACATTAAATGTATATAGGCGAACTTAATGGCCGAAGCAGAGAGGCAGTCTACTATATATATATATATATATATATATATATATATATATATATATATATATATATATATATATATATATATATATATATAATACAAAACAGCCTATAATAAATGCTATAAGAGACGAGAATGGATGTATTCTGAATGATGAAGTTTCGAATTTAAACAGATGGAAGGAATACTTTGAAAGCGTGTTTATGAGTGAAGAGTCGTATGAATTAAATGAACTAGAAATTCCGAAAGAAGTGGAAAGGGGTATGGAGATAAGTGTAGATGAAATAATGAAAGCAATGAAAAGCATGAAAGCAGGTAAGGCAGCTGGATATGATAGAGTATCACTCGAGATGCTAAGGGCTGGAGAGGGAGTGGTGGCAGGCCTGCTGTACACCTTGTTTAATTTATGTTGGGAATT